AGAGATTTTCTAGGAGAGGGAATTGGGAATTGCTTTTTTCCATTTGGGATGCAGGGGAAGGTTTTAGGGAGAAAAAAAGGAAATATTTTAGGGAGGAAAAAAAGATTTTAAGGAGGAAAAAAATGAAATATTTTAGGGAGGAAATTGATTTTAGGGAGAAAAAAGGAAATATTTTGGGGGGAAATATTTTAAGGTGAAAAAATAGAAGATTTTAGGGGAATAAAGAGAAATGTTTTAGGGAGAAAAAAAGGAAATGTTTTAGGGAGGAAAAATAGAATTTAAGGAGGAAAAAATGAAATATTTTAGGGAGGAAATTGATTTTAGGGAGAAAAAAGGAAATATTTGGGGGGGGAATATTTTAAGGTGAAAAAATAGAAGATTTTAGGGAGAAAAAAAGGAAATGTTTTAGGGAGAAAAAAGGAAATGATTTAGGGAGAAAAAAGGAAATGATTTAGGGAGAATAAAGACATTAAGGAGAAAAAAGGAAAGATTTTAGGGAGAAAAAATATTTTAAGGTGAAAAAATGAAAGATTTTAGGGGGGAAAAGGATTTTAGGGAGAAAAAAAGGAAATATTTTAGGGAGAGAAAAAGGAAAGATTTTATGGAGAGAATAAGATTTCAAGGAGAATAAAGGAGATAATTTGGGGAGAAAAAAGGATTTTAAGGGAAAAACCGAAAGATTTCAGGGAGAAAAAAATGAAATATTTTAGGGAGGAAAAAAAGGAAATATTTTAGGGAGAAAAAAGATTTTAAGGAAAAAAGAAAGGAAATATTTTAGGGAGAAAAAAAGAAAGATTTCAGGGAGAAAACGAGGAAATATTTTAGGGAGAAAGGAATATTTTAAGGAGAAAAAGGAAAACTTCTAGAGAGAGCAAAGAAATTGTAGGGAGAAAATGTTCAACTTCTTCTTCAGCTTCTTCATGTTCTTCATCTTAATCTTCTTCACCTTCTTCTTCATCTTAATCTTCTTTTTCTTCTTCACCTTCTTCTTCTTCACCTTCTTCACCTCATTCTTCTTCACCTTCTTCTTCACCTTCTTCATATTCTTCATCTTAATCTTCTTCACCTTCTTCATCTTCACCTTCTTCACCTTCTTCTTCTTCACCTCATTCTTCTTCACCATCTTCTTCACCTTCTTCACCTTCTTCTTTAACTCCTTCTTCTCCCTCTTCTCCCTCTTCTCCTTCTTCTGCTTCTTCTCCTTCACCTTCTTCACCTTTTTCACCTTCTTCTTCTTCACCTCATTATTCTTCACCTTCTTCATTCATATCCTTTTTCACCTTCTTCTTCACCTTCCTTTTCTTCTTCACCTTCTTCACCTTCTTCACCTTCTTCTCCTTCTCCTTCTCCTTCTCCTTCTCCTTCTCCTTCTCCTTCTCCTTCTCCTTCTCCTTCTCCTTCTCCTTCTCCTTCTCCTTCTCCTTCT